AAACAGCAGCGGCAATGTTATACACATACTGTAAAATAGCACAAAACTGGTTGATCTGAGACTGAGCCAGATTCAAGCACTGCCTTCAGTAGTGGGGAGAGGCAGAGGTCTGGCTGCTTTTTTTTTAAAAAAAAAAAAAAAAAAAGATCATTGAGTAAAGGAATTGGAGATAGTGATTGTAGAGAGATTTTCTGAGAAACTGAACAGTGAAAAATAGATATGAAAGTTGTAGGGATATCATCAGAAAAGGGTAGAGTAGTTTCATTTTGTTTTAATGAGAAAAGGCATCATGTGTTTTTATAGTCTTCTGAGTAAAATGTTAAAAGGACAAAGATAAATAGAGCATCACATGTTAGGAGTGAGTCAGATCAAGGCCTAAGTGCCTTTAGCAGGAGAGGAGTGTCAGCTCTTTCTTTGGGATTTGAAGAAAGCAGTGGGAGTAAGTACAGATGTAGGGTTTTTTAGTTAAATGATAAGAATTCAAGAAATTTCACACTTAATATCCTCAATTTTTATGTAAATTAGAACTTCCTCATCTCCAAAGGTGACTGAAAGAAAAATTAAAGAAAAGGGCCAACTGTCCTGGTGCAACCCTGTAATCACAGTGACTACAGAGCCTGTGGCAGGAAGATTGCAAGTAAGGCCAGTCTCATCAACTCAGCAGGATCTTGTATGAAAAAAAAAAATTAATAAAAGGGGCTGGGATGTGACTCAGTAAAGTGTCCCTGGGTTCAAACCAGTACCAAAAAAAGAAAAGAGTGAATTTTAGGATTGGGTGGGGGCGGGAGGGAGAGTTACCACCTATAGATATAGCAAAGATTTTCTAAATAGAAGAAAGGCACAGTTGACTTCAGATTTTTTGGAGCCTATAGCAACACTAGTAGTCTGCCTGGTTATTTAATATTTTCACTCTTCAGTAACCAAAAATAAATTGATATAAGATTGATCTAAGAGAAGAAAGGTCCTGGTTTTGTGGAAGGATAAAATTATGATAACTGTTTAACCAGCTGTAACTTCTAGGATGGAGTAGAAAGGAACTTCATGAACTCTCATGCAATGGATGCAAAGATGTGGGACTGAAAATGTAGTGACAATAAAGAAGGCTGAATTGAACATGATTGTGGAATTTGTGGGGTTACAAATTTATAACTTGGTGTTTAAGTGTCCAGAGATGGCATATTTCCCTACAAACAATTTCAGCATGAGGCACAAGATCACAATTACTATGAAATTGAAAGGATACCTCAGATTTGAAGATGATTTGCTAGATGTGTTATCTATATGAACACTAAGGTTATTAAAGAAATAAGAATTGAAAGTGGAAGGGAGAAACTGAGAGCTAGATACCAATACACTTATTCAATAACAAGGTTGGAGAGTGTACATTTTAGATAAATGTTTGGATTTTATTTGAGGAAGAGGTTTTGCAATTTTGATTCAAAAGTGATATAGAAACAATAAAGGAGAGCTGGAAAAGAAAAAAATAAGATTATAAAAAAACTGTATAGACTTTAAGCTCTCTAAGTAACAAATGATTAGTATGTTATGTGGTTAAGGGAGTTAAAAATCTTATGATTATATGTCTACATAAATAAATCTAAAATGGTTGAGTGTTAAATTTCTTTATTCATGGGAAAACATCATGATGTGGAAAAATATTAAATCTTTTGGCTAATATGATCAAAATTTATATTATTAGTAATACTTTATTTGGATATAACTCCATATATACTATATATGTAGAGAGAGAAAGAGATAAATAGAGAACAAAGATACACACATATTAAAATGTTATTTCTTGAGCATTATTCTTTACATTTTATAGATAAGGAAACTAGAAACTGTTTCAAAGTTACATATGACTTTGGAGCCCATGTCACTCCAAAACACAATACAAAAGTAAACAAACAAAATTAATTTAAAATTAATTGAAGTAGGAAGTACATTGATACAATACACACTAAAACTCTCACTGAGGTTTTACATCCTAACCCAAATTTAAAATTGTGTTCTAAATTTTTTTATTGATATTTTTGATGTGGATCATTGTGTATTTAACATACATCTTGTCATTACTTCATGAAAAGAATATCTTGTTGTTAACTTTTTATAATTATAATTTATACACGCCTATCAGAGTTAGATGTTGATCTCCTAAATCATGTATTTATTATAATTTGAGTTGACTCAAACTTGAAAATGCCCTGAAATGCTCATAAGAACAGCATGCATTGAAATTTCCATGATTTACTCTTCCTAAATGGTATTTAAATATGTAAACTTGAAAGAGAAGGGAGAAATGCTAATGATCCTGGCAGTTATTCTCAACAATTATCTTCAGGAAGTAAATCATGGATATTACAGTATCATGCCCATTTAAAGAAATAGAACTTAAAGTGAGGTTATTGCTGCACTATATAGTGCAGATATATATATATGTATGTGTATATATATATATATATATATATATATATATATATACTTAAAAAGTTTAATAAATATGATTTTGAAAATTTTGTCTCATTTTTTACTAATTGCTCCAAATATACCATGAAAAGTTATTTTAAAAATTCCTAGATATTTCTGAACTAAAATGACTAATTCTGCATCTAAACTTTTACATTAAGTGATTATTTTTTCAGAAAGGCATGTTATAAAAAGCACTTTAATCCTTTAAGATGAAATATGGCTATAGTATAGTTATCAAAATTTAATGAATTAGGGATATTATCAAAGTGAATCTGTTTATTGAAACTGGAAGTTAATCAGTAGGAACTGTATATAGTAGCCTAATGTGCCAAACAATCACTATGATTTTATGGTGACCATCTTTTCTTTTCTAAATGTGATTTCATTGTTATGCAGCATTTATTTTAAAATAAAATGTCTTAGAATCTCACAAAATAAAAAAAAAGAATTTGAACATAAAACAGAGCATATTCTATGGTTCCATTAATACAAATTTTAAAAATATGCATAACTAGTCAATGACCCAGGGAAAGACTTGCAGTTTACCAAAGAGAGGTAGATGGGCCTGGAATGGTTCAGAGCACATACTGAACATTGGTGATGTTCAATCTCCTGATGCAGATGCTGGACAGATGCATATTTTGTAAAATTCTATTGAGCTGTACACTCACGACTTGCACAATTTTTGGCATGTTTTTATACCTCAAAATTTACATTATCAGTAGTTTGCTCTAGGGATAATTCCTATGTTAATCAGAAGTTAAAAGGTTAATATTCCACTAAATTTTTAGCTGCTTTGGCATTAGTAATAAATTAGCTCATTAGTATAGGAAATGTCTTGGACGACTTGATTTAGAATCAGACTTTAATTTTAGTTGGGAATATGATTTTATTTCTTATTATATAGTTAAACTGAAAACAAAAAGAACTTATAGGTCAAAGCATAAAAAGAAAAACTAGTAATTTTTTCCTCTATGCTCTTTTTTGTTCCCTTTAAGTGAGAAGGTGAACTGATTAGTAATCTAATAACCATTATTGCAAGGCCAAAATAACTCTGCTATGATGCAAACCACACAGAACACAAAGAGATAAGTCTGAGCCCTCTTCTAAAGCTGAGAATATTAACTCTCTAGAAAATTCATAAGATATTTGATACGGAATGAAATATTTGAGTTTCTTAGTTTGTTATCTTGTCTAACAGGTAAATAGGATTATCCTGAAATATTTTAAATGCTGAAATATTTTAAATGATCCAAATATGTGTGTGTACAAAATTTGAAAGTTAAGTCAAACTCATGCTGTATTTTAATGAACTTTTGCTATTATTTGCAATTATTATTATTATTTTTCATTATTCATATCCCAACATTACCACTTATTATATATTCCTTGGCTATTGAAATTTATATAAATTATATCAAATTAAACTTTCAGTTGCTTAGCCACTTAGGCTCATTTCAAGAATGCAGTAGTCATACATTGCTAGTATCTACTGTCATGGGGTAGATTTAGAACATTTCTATTTACCAGAGTTCATTTGGTCAACACTAATTTATATAATTAAAGCAGTACCTTGTTCAGATTATGATATTTAATAATAATAGAATTAATAAAAATAAGACTAGCTATACAATAGAAGATAATGATGATTATAAGTGAAAACACACAACTTACATATCTAGTATCATGAGTATTTTATATATAGTCTTATGTAAGTTTTTGAAGACTCTCCTAGCCACAATTTTTTCAAACATTTCACTTTTAAATAACTTTGAAAATGACATTCTGAAAAATTTTCATTAATTAGAAGCCTCAGAACCAACCTTATATATTATGGTCACAGCTATATTTTTAAAGAAATAGAAAAAAATCTAAGCAAATGATTAAAATCCTTTTAAATTATAAATGATAAGAAACTTAAATAGATTTTTTTAAGTCACCTGCCACCAATAACAAAACCTGGTAAATCAGGATACAAAATGATTAAGAAAGAAATTGGATTAGTAGTACCTTTTGTATTTATGGTTATAGCATTAATTCATTGAGATCATTTTATACATTCCAATTTATTTGTTAAAAACTCTAACTTTGATTTACCTTTCTGTCGTTTTAATATTTTGTGCAGTCTTTTAAGTTGATCCCCTTCTGGCTCTATGCTAGATTTTTAAAAACTCATATAGTATTCCCAATACATGAAGACAATCTTCAGGTAACCAGCCAGTCCCACCTTTCAGCAAATTATGAATCACAACTCAGAGTTGAACTTATCAGGCATATCAGTTAAAAATTAACTTATTTCTTCCTCCATTGTCTATGTACTTTGTATTCACATTTCAGTAATCATTCTCATAATAACCATTCAACACCATGGATGCAAAGTACATAAATACACATTATGATATTCAGAAAAAAAAAGAATTTTAGGACAACTTTATTGTATTATTACAACAACCTTAAAAACAGAAATAGTCTCTTCAGTAAAGATTAGTTTTTCTTGTCAATTTATAATCTTATTTTTTCCTCTCTCCTAGGCTACTGATAAAGATACTGGTAATTATAGTGCTATGGCATACAGACTCATAATACCACCAATTAAAGAGGGAAAAGAAGGGTTTGTGGTGGAAACATACACAGGACTCATCAAGACTGCTATGCTCTTCCATAATATGAGAAGATCTTACTTCAAATTTCAAGTTATTGCAACTGACAACTATGGGAAGGGACTGAGTGGAAAAGCTGATGTACTTGTAAGTAGAGAAAACTTCAGATGTATAAATTACACACAGCTGGGCAAGTGGTGCATTCCTTTAATCCCATGAATTTAGGAGGGTGAGCCAGGATGATCTCAGCAATTTAGCAAGGCCCTAGGCAACTGGGACCTTATCTCAAAATAAGATATAAAAATGATTGGGAAAGGTGGCTCAGTGATTAAGTGCTCCTGGATTCAATCCCTGACACCAAAAAAGAAATAAAGAAATAAATTGTATGCAATACTATTCAGGAGATTGTATTTTCAGCTCAGAACATTTTTAGGAATAATTTAAAACAGGTTTCTAAAACATAAATATCATTAATTTTCATCCACATTTTTAACATCTAGCCTTTTGTAATTTAGAAAAACAACAAAAAATGTTTTGTAGCAATTTGTAATCAGTAATATTGTTGTTCTGACTTTCTCTTGGTCTGTGCACAAGTACAGTGGTAGATCATTTCCAAGAATAGTTTGATATTAGTTTTTATTGAATATATTTAAAACTAATTCATATATCCTGTGCAATTGCTACTGAGTTGGAAGTGTGGACTATTTGGACTTTTCTATGATAAATCTAATAAAAATTATAATTATTCTTGAATATATTTGTCACATAAAGATGGAGTAAAGCATAGTTTGTGTATTATTCTTCTTGTCATAATAAATCTTAATTTCTCACAGTTCTCTTCATTAAGCTACTGGACAAACTTAACCATCATATGCATGCAGTCATAAATGATCAGGTATTTGTCTTCTTAGATAATGGTGAGGACCAATTTCCATGATTCTGGTGGGTATGAAGGCCCCAACTGTCCCCCAGCTACACTCTCCTTTGTAACTGTAAAGCTATCAATGGATGAAGAAAGGACAATCTCAACCAAGAAGTTTAGACAGAAAATACTAAGGTTGATATAGAATTTTGATCAAATTAAGATCTATAAATGTTATAAAAGAATACCATTTTCTTATTCTGTTTTGTAAGTTTTGCACAATGGGTACCTTAAAGACTAAATAATAAGATCACTACACAAAGTATAGTCAAAATATGATAAAATAAATACAAAAAATATATAAATAAATAGAATATATATAATGTGAATAGAGTATATATATGATTTATATATAAATAATGTGAAATTTATGTTTTTTTAAATTTATACTTTATAAATAATATATGAAAATTTTAGTATATGCCAAAATATATTTACAAGGAAAAATTCAAATAAATCATAATATTATATACATATATAATATGCATATCATATATTATTATATTCTGACACAAACTAAGAGCATCAGGAAAGCCTTCTCAGCAAAATTACATAATCCTATAGTTCAAAAAAGTAAGATATAAAAGGAATGGCTTTTGTGCACAAGACACAATATGTGCCAAAAACAAGGGGAAATAAAAGATGACAAGTTTGAAAAGTCACAGAAATTTATTTACTCATCAGAGAAGAATGTGAGAAGGAACATGAATAATTAATAAGGCTAGAGATGAAAATAACTGGTCCATAGAAAAGACTTAAGCCACATGAAAAATGTTGGTACTTTCCCCTAAATATAGTGGGAAGCCACTGGAAAGTTTTAGTAAGAGTGGGATAAAATAAGGTTATTAAACTTAGAAGAAGGCTTCTTGTTTAGTACAAATCTAGTTCTCCCCTGAGATGGCACCATTTTTACTGCTGCTTTATTAGTGGTGGCTTCTGTTTGATTCTTTTTCATTTTTGTCTGTCACAGTCTTCATACTGCCCACTGGTAGAGTAGGATCTTCTGTGTACAACCGCATCACTTCTAAACCTTACCTTCCTCCCAAGAGTCCAGTCTTCATTCTCATCATCTGTCACTCACTACTTCCTGTGATCTCCCAAACCTAGGATCAAAATTATCCATCATATATATGACTTTAACTCCTGGAATTACTGTTCACTATCTCCGTCAATTCTCTGGACTTAATTTTTTAACATCATTCTTTATATGCAATGGTGATTTTTTTCAGTGATCAAAACTCACATTCCTTGAATGCCTTTGTTCCCATGACTTTGCCCTCCCCCCTATTTCAACCATTCAGAGCCATTATCTTTGCCAGTACCTCCATAATCTCCATTTCAAACCTGTTACTCTTTGACTATAATGCTGAATATGTCTAACTAAATTTATCACTTTTGTCACCACTAGGACCTTTATTCCAGTTAGATGACAATATATTTTCTGTCCATCATGTTTTTATTGAGACCTCCTAATGTTCTCCTTTCTTGCTTATCAGCTTTATGGCATATTTTCAATTATAATAAGCATGTTAATATAAAAATTTAGCTTCCTTTTTTTTCTATATTATTTATGGTTTTCCCGAAAAACAGAACTAGTGGATTTACTAGATTGGCTCAGTTATAAGGCTGAAAAAATGCACAATATCCATCTGAAAACTGAAGAACCAGGGAATCTTGGTAGAATGGTTCAGTCTAAGAAGCCAGAAGCCTGACAACTAGCTAGCAATTTAAGACTGATGGCTTAGAGGTCCCAGAAGTCAGAGGCACTGGAGTCTATATCCAAGGAGAGGAGAAAATATGACCACTTAGAAAGGAAAAGCCAAAAGGAAAGAGAGGATGTTTCCCTTTCTTATATTACATTGTTACCTATGGGGCAACCGCCAATTGTGTGGTGCAGTCTTCAGTGAGAGCACAGCTCACCCACTCAGTTTACTACCCCACACTCCAGTCTTCTCCAGAAACATCCTCACAGAAGCACTTAGAAGCAATACTTTACCAATTATCTAAACATCTCTTAATCCAGTGAAGTTGACAGCCAATCACACCACCTTTACTGATACACGTACGCATTTAGCAAAGTTGTAACTCTAATTAATTCCAACTCTCTACTTTCCCCATACCTCTTCCCATGGTGATTTTATCTGCCAAAAAGAAACACAGAAGTACGATTAGTTTCATTTTAAATGAACTTTTATTTTACAGCATTCACTCTGTATTTCTTGGAGTGAATGTTCACTCCCAATATCCTAGAAAAATCTGTTCCCAATAGTCCAGGATATTATCTGCATCCTCATTGTTATTTAATGGAGTAGGATTCTATTTCATAAAGCTAAAACTAGTACTCCACCACTAACTCAACTTACTCACTAGAATCTGATTCAAAACACTTTCCTTCCTTTAATAGTTTTTTTTTTTTTATTCCCTATGCTTTATTCCCATGAATTCCTTAACTTAAAGACAAAATATGTCTATTTAAAACTATTTGGTAGAATTTTACAAAAGTAAGTGCTGTAATCACGTCATTTTGAAAAAACAAATGATAGTATTTATTGCTAATGAAAACGTTGAAGCTTTTTAGCACAAATTGGATATTGGAAAGCTTATATCTGCCACTAAGAAATGACAGCTTCCCTTTACTTAAAGATTAACTTATGAGATCAATGATTATAGTAAATAATATTTCTTTTCTTGATATTATATAACAAAGTGTGTCCCATTTGAAAACTCTGACAAAAATCTGAACCAATATTTTCCACATGATTGAAAAAGACATTGAAAACTCATTCATGGGTAAAAGATAAATTCAAATTACAATAAAGATAAATGAATTTTCAGTGTTACTTAAAATGTTTCTAAATGTGGCTTTAGATTTTACATTAAACCTAACCTTGTAGAAATTCTCACTTGAGTTTTAATGTAATATCAAAGAAGAAAATATATGATGATATGAAAAGGCTTTAAAACCATTACTTTCATTTCATGAAAAGTGAGTGTATAGCAGAGTTCATTTAAAAGGAACAATGACCAGTTCAAGCAGGAAGTGATGCATGTATCTGTAACTGGATTGTCCAACACACTAGCTATCAGTCAAATGTAACTACTGATCACTGGAAATTCACCTGGTCACCATTGGATGTGCTGTAAGTATTTAATGCACACTGGATTGCAAAGACTTAAGATGAAAAAAAAAATATAAACTATTTCCTTAATAAGATGTTTTATATTGAATATATATTCGGATAACATTAAAGTTTAAATTATTGGGTTAAAAGCATTATTGAAATAATTTTGCCAATTTTTATCTTTCAATGTGGATACCATAAAAATGAAAGTACCATATATATCAGTTATTTATGAGTTGTGTTGTATTTGTATTAGATGGTAATCTCTAACTTTTATGGGATCAAAAAAGGGAAATAAAAAGATAGTATGTTTATGAGGAAGAAATAATAGGGCTTAGAAATAAAATATGTAAATTAGAAACCTCTGTTTTAGAACTCTGATTCAAAAATATAAATTTTCTTTTTTATTGTGTCTAGTCATTTTAACCTATTACAAAAGCAATACCTACAATGATATAAATCTATATTTTGAAAAGTTTCACTTATAATCAACCTATAGAGCTGAATTAAGGAAATTTGTAGGATATTTTTACAATTATGGTGTAGGGTTTTGTTATAGTTCAGAGGTGGAACACATGCTTAGCATGCACAAGGTCCTAGGCTAAATCCCCAGCACCATACAATAAAAGCATAAAAATATAAAATTATGGTGTAATTAATCCTTATGAATTTCTAATATATCCTCATAGTCTTATTATGGGAAAGGAACAATTTTAGAGGTAATCCGAGACAATATATTTGTAGTTAAATGTAGCCTGAGTTTTATTAATTTAACAGAAATAGACATATATACTTTTTCATTTCTTTCTTTCTTTTCTTTTTTTGGTTCTGGTGATAGAAGCCAGGGGTGCTTAACCACTAAGTCCCCAAGTGCTCTTTATTTATTTATTTTTTTTCAGACAGAGTCTAAGTTTTTGAGGTTGATCTTGAACTTGTGATCCTCTTACCTCAGGCTCCCTGAATCACTGGGATTATAAGAGTGTGCTACCACATTCATTATATTCCTCTTATGTCCTAAGAATACGAAATCATGTCAGAATTTGTCAAGATCTAAGAATATTTTTGAAAAATTATAAACAATCTGTACATATTTCTGAGGACCTAAAATATTACTTACTTTTTATCATTGATTCAGTCAGAATTTAGTTCCAAAACTCACTAATAAATTTAAAATCTTTTTGAACAAGTTATTTCTCCGGAATGCAGCAAAATCATTGACAGTCCTTAAAAGGCCAATGAGAGTTACTTATATCTGCAATGCCAAATTTTGCTTCCTTACCATATAAAATTGATTGAATTCTAAATATTTATTTATAAATCAGCTGCTCAATAGCAGAAAACAAGCACAGAAAATCTGTAGCTTCCTTGCACCCACATATAACTAACAGTCTAAGTTTTATTGCTCTAAAATTATTAAGATTCTACCAACAACTGTGGTAATAGAACTTTAGATATTTGAGCTGATGGGGTAAATATATAATAAAAAATTCCAAAATTTTAATGCTTTAACAAAACAGATTTTCTTTTTCTCTCATATGACTTAACAAGAGAGTATACATGTTTGACTAGTGTCCTTTATAGTTATTCAAAAAAGTTCAGAAACTTAAGCTCCTCCCCTTTTTACTTCTCCCCTTCTTTATGGCTTCTTCATCCTAATGTAGATGGGGGCGGATTTCTCAGATAAAAGAAGTCTAATATTATTAATTCTTTCCCTTCCTGTCTTTACATTGGCAAGAACTTGATCATATGTCTGTAATAACCAACCTGGAAGTCTGGGAAATCTATTTTTACAGTGATCCCACTAGGAAAACAGAAATAGCTGGGTGAACAGTTAACCAGTGCTTATTACATATTATCAAATATGCATTTACCAAATATGCCTTGCATGCATTTTATTCAGAGCCCAAATGCTGATAAGGAAAAACATGTTTATTAGATATAGGGACAGATCTATAGAGACACATCCAACAGGACGGATAGTGATGTTAACCTGTATTAAAGGAAATAAAGAATGATTATCCCTATTCTCTGTCATCCCTTCAATATACTGCTTATGCTCTTCATTGCTTTGCCTGTCAATAACTACCATGTTATCACTCCTGAACCTCCTCCCACTAAGTAGTTGGAAGTACTTCCGCTCAAATACACTGGGATAGCTCCTCATTCCTGAGGCCACTAGTTCAGAACTTCTGAGTCCAGGTGAGAGGGCAGTTACAGGATATGATGGGATGTTCAGAAGGTTCTGGTGAAGATATTTCTTGTTTAAATAATATCTTATGATTGTTATTTTTCCAGGATATTTCTTTTTCACTAGATTTTTTTTTCTGACTTTTCATGGTCTAATATTAAGAGAGACAGAGAGAGAGAAGGAAAGAAACAATTTCATAAGTTTTATATATGTACATCTAGAGATTTTTCATGTTTTTTTCTGCTAAAACTCAAAAGTAATTTGAAAAGGTTTCTACATAAATTTGTTCTTTTTATCCAGGACCAATAAGAAAAGAAAAAGTTACATAAAAACTGTGAAAATCAATTTTTCTAATGAAGTTACGTGATTTTTGTAAATAAAGAATCAGGACTTATCTGTTTAAGTAAAACTTAGGTATTTGGGACCAGATAGTTATATAATGAGTTAGAGGTACAGAGGTCACACTGCCAATGTTAACTGTTGTGCATAGGTGATAAGCCAACAGATCCCTGGCTTATTATACAGTCTTCAGACCTGATGTATTAGGCTAAAAAAATGGTTAGAAATGTTTTTAATTATTTGAAAACATTTTCCATAATAGTTTGCATTTCTTCTTCCCTTCATTGAAATATTCAGCAAATCTGAATTTTCTTTCTAAATAGTAATATTCAGTAGAATTAAATGGTAGCTGAGCTCTTCAAAGGAATTGTGTGTACTCTGATTTGCAACACTTTCACTTCTCCCAATAATGTTGTGGCTACTTCACATTTAAGTTAATTAAGTGATTGCTGTAACTATATGACTCTGACTCCCTGATAAGGCATCTATGTGCAACATAGATGGTAGAGAAGTTAGGCTTTATATAAAAAGTAGATGGCAACATAAAATTATTCTCTCTATAGATTGTGTTGAATTTTTGAGTAAAAATAAATGAGTTATTTTTCTTCTTTTTTTCAGGTCTCTGTGGTCAATCAGCTGGATATGCAAGTCATTGTTTCCAATGTGCCCCCTACTTTAGTGGAAAAAAAGATAGAAGATCTTACAGAGTAATGGATTTTGTTTACTTATATATTTATTTTCATATGACTGATTTTAATTTTATTAAGTCATTTTAATCATTATGATATTCAGATTAAAGCTATCTTTTAAAAGAGTTTCTTCATGATAAGTTAGATTACTATTTTCTCTATATAGCTTCATTGGAAATATAAAATATTTTGATACTACCTTCAAGGATCAATAAAAGGTTTGAGAAGATTTTATTATTCTGAATGCTTTGATTGATACAGCAACAAAACTTCAAGACTGCAAATTGCTAATATTTTGGCAATTACATCCATAGTTTAATGTATGCTTCATTTGCAGTCCTAGATTATATAAACAATAAAATGTATAATGTTAGCAATCCAGCTAGTCCAGAAAATGTTAGTTTTAAAAATAGTATGTCTCAGTTTCTAGAGATTATTCTATAAAACCATATTAAAAATATTTTTTAACAATATGTCTTCTTAGTTATATAAAACATGTAGCATGTTCTTATTCTTTGTTAACATTGGACATTACATGGTCAAATATGTTGTTGACACAGTTATAGTTGCCATTATTTATTAGGCTGTTATTCTCTAATTTTATACTATCACACAGTATTAAAATGTCTTTACTATTTCATTCTAAACTATCCTAACATATTTTGTAATTATCATATTTTGTATTTATTTGTGTGTTTGTGTGTGTGTTCTGTGCTTTCATATGGTACCCTTTTTAAACTCTAACCCTTTATTCTGTTTTATTTCTCTTCAAAGCATTATCTAATATTTTGGCAAATATGTCATTTTCCCAATAGAATATAATCTTTATGTAGGTAGGAAATTTCTTTTTATTGCTCTAACTGTAGTTATATAGTAGGAACTTGATACTTCTATTCAATGAGTGTCTTGTGCACAAAAAATCATGATGCCTTTTCTTTATATTTAATTAAACTGAAATAGAAAATCCAAAACAAAAGTACAGTTTTGTAGAGATTTGTAAGACATGATGACCTTATTGGATATGGTGGATGTGATCATATGAAGAAGAAAAAAAATTGTCAACTTCAGATAAATGTATGATTGCAAAAGGAGCTTGAACTTCATATGACTGGTTTGTAACACAGACTATAACAACTGATTGTTTCAGACCTAAGTTTCACCTTTGGTCAATAAGAACTAATAAAGCCTATAAGATTGTTGAGAACTAAATTATATACCTTTACCATGAATATTATGAATATACAAAGAATGTTAAACTTTTTACATAAAGAGGATTTTATATAAAGGACAGTTCAACTTTACATAGAATGATATCATGTTTTTGAACATTTTTTAAAAAAAACTTAACTCTATAATGAATAACAGTTTATGAATTCAAAAGTACATATGAGATTCTATTGTAAATGGGCAAGACAGTTAATACTTGTGGCTATACTTTCTTATCTTGAAAACTGGAATAAAGTCATCTATCTTTTGATAATTTTTTTTTTAATACTGGTGATGAAACCCAGGACTTTGCACACACTAAGCAAGCACTCTGCACTGAGGTACATCCACAGATCTCTTTTAATAATCTTGAAAGTATTAAATATGTCTTTTCCAGTATGTTAAACAAAAACCACATTTTTTTCATTCCTTTTCTCATTGTGCTAAAATTTCACATAATAAATTTTATCATTTTAGTGATTTTTAAATTTATAACTTTTTATTGTTAAATTTTTATACATTGCTCTTAAACAGATTTCTAGAATGTTTTTATCTTGTGGAACTGCAATTCTATATACATTAAGTAACAAATCTCTTCCTCTCCCGTTATCCCACCATTTTACTTTCTAAATATATAAATTTGATGACTTTCAATATATCATGTAAATAGAATAATACAATCTCTCCTTTTGTAATTGGCTTATTTCACTTAATGTAATAGCATCAGTATTCATCCATGGTGTATTATGTCACCAGTTCTAGTCCTATTTTAAGGCTAAATTTTATTCTATTGTATGTGCCTACTATATTTTGTTTATCCATTCATCCCTTGAAAAACATTTGGGTTCCTTCTACTTCATGGGTATTGTGAATACTGCTTCTATGAACATAGGTGTACAAATATCTTGTGTAGACCTTGATTTCATGTTTCTGTATATATGCCCACAGGTGAAATTTTTGTAATATATTGGAGTTCTACTTCATTAATATTTTTAAAGAACATAATACTCTTCTATAATATTTGTATCATTTTACACCAAAAGTACACAAAGCTTTGTACTACTTCACATTCCTATCAAACATTTCTCTTTTTCTCTTAATTTTGTTGATAGTAACCATCATAAAGGGTTCAAGGTCATACATTGTTGTGTTTTTCATTTGAATTTTTCTGGTGAGTAATAAAATTGAGCATATTTTTATATGCAATTAGATGTTTGTATGTAATCTTTGAAGCAATGTCTGAGTTGTTTGACTATTTTCATAGGAGTTATTTGAATTTTTTTGTAGTTAAGCTGGGGAAGGAAATTCTTCATATATTCTGATATAAACTCCTCACCAGACATCGGATTTGCAGCTTTTTGTGTGGTTCCATAGGTTACCTTTTTTCTCTGTTGGTTGGGTCCTATAATAAACACAAGATTTTAAATTTGATGTCATCCCATTTGTCTGTTGTTGCTTTTGTGGACTATGGTATTGGTATCCCATCCAACAAATCATTACCAAATGTAATAGTATGTAACTATACTCGTATGTTCTTTACTGGGGTTTTATAGCTTTAGGTCTTACTTGTAGGTCTTTAATCTATTTAAAGTTAATTTTTATATGTGGTATATTCTTTTATATGTAGATACTCAGTTTTTCTATCACCGGTTGTTGAAGGGATGGTCCTTTTCATTCCTGATTCCTCTTTGTAGATTTTTAAAAATATTTTTGTTTGTTGTTTTTTAGTTGTAGTTGGACACAATACATTTATTTATTTATTTACTTACTTATTTAATGTGGTGCTGAAGATCGAACCCAGTGTCCTACATGTGCTAGGTAGGCACTCTATCGCTGAGCCACAACCCTAGCCCCAGATTTTAGATTTTTCTCAAGAAGGAATATATTGAACACTTTTTTGAAAGTTACCTTAGTTGATGTAAACAGTAGAGATGAGAACTTTTATACTTGATTAAGCAGTGTGAATCCCTATATGTTCATCCTATCAGTACTAAAGAGTAATAAAATATAAACATAAACCATGTAGACCACAGAGTGCCAATTAGTTAATTAAATATAAAAATTTATTGTTCCAGTGACCAGACTAATTAACATGTTCATTCCCTGTGGACATTCATAGATGACAAGTCATTTCATCATCAAAGCCACTTTCTGTATTTCCCATGAGACATTCCTGTTATAAATGAAGTGGACATTTTGAATTCCATGAGATTATCACTTTTATTTTTTCCTTTAGGTAGACCCATATTTAAGGCCAAAACATAATCCAAAGTTTCCTTGGAAAGTCTAAAATTATGATGAATCAGGAAACTTGATGAAAGGAAAGCTTAATAACCTTATATCTACTTTGTGATGAAAAAGTTTTTGCAAACAAGACTACTATAGTTTGATAGCTAACAGCATAGCACCTGGAAACTAGAATGCTTAGAGTAAATCTTGGCTGCTATAATAGTGATAATGATTAGTTCCACACTTCCCCAAATGGGCTTAAATTGTTTCAGTAAATTTTAAAATCATTTTTGTTATGTCATGCTTAAAGAACTGGTCAAATCCCATTGGTAATAAAACATCTTTTTTTTTTTTGGTTGTTGTTTTTGTACTGGGCTTGAACCCAGGAATACTTTACCACTGAGCTATATCCTCAGCCTTTTTAATCTCTTATTTTGAGACAGGGTTTCACTAAATTGCTGAGACTGACATTGAATTTGCAATCCTCTTGCCTCAGCTTTTAAGTCACTGTGATTACAGGTGTACACCACAATGCCTGGTGAAACATCTATTTTTAATTATATTAATGCATTCAACAAATTTCAGTGTAAGTATGTTATCCTAGTCTTCCTACAGATAGCCTTACACATCTGCAGTGTCTCATGTTGATCTTAGAATTTATCTGTTTGGAACTTTGTGTTTTTCTTACTTAAACGTTTTTGAGATTAAGGCATAGAGACAACAGCTGGGAGGATAAGAGTAGGGACAATTTAACATCAACAAATACTTAAAAATAAGCATACAGAGAAGAAACTAAAATGTATTTTTATTTCTTGACTTCTTCATTTCTTCTTCTTCTTCACTATAAACCCCAAATTAATAAAATTAATAATAATTAATAATGATTGGGGTTCTAAAACTTAAATCCCAAGATTGTATAAAAAATATTTTGGAAATACTATACAAATTGGAACCAGTAATTTAGGTCTCAGAGTTGCTCCAGTGCTTCTCTTACTTTCTAAATACAATATGAAAATTCAATTTTAGTAGGACTTTATTGAAGCAGTTATTGATTTAATGTGCAAGAGCCTCATCTCCATGATATATTTATAGAGCACCTGAAATGTGTCTGAGTAATCAATTTATAGTTCCTGGAATTAAAGTTACAAAACATAGTTTGGAAATCTAGCCAAAACACATAAATTTCTAGCATAAGAATTCAGATGTCTTTTGACAAGCAAATCCATGAAACAGTAAATGATAAATTTCATTACTTACATTTTCTTAAATCAGTATAATAAAAACTTGGTCTTGAAGAGAAAGGTTAAATTCTGTTTGAGTTTGAATTAGTTATGCTTAATCTACACCCCACTAATGATTAGCTAAGAAATCATGGATAATAAATTAAACTCTTTAAGTGTGCTAATATCCATAACATAAAGCTGGTGATTTACTCATTAAAAAGTTAGTTACGAGTTGTAAGCACTCAGATAAACCAGAAAACAATGATTACATGGAGTTTATTTTCTCTTGCAAGGAAACAGCGAATAAAATAGCATTATTAATAAGCTAATATATAATATGATGTTAGGTACTTCAATTCC